CGGCTTTTGTTGTAGGTGCCGAGGGGCTTTCTTGTTTCAACCGCCCCCCCTCCCCCCCCTTTTTTTTTTTTTCTTTCCCTCGCCCCCCAGCCCCCCAGCTGCTTTGTGGCGGGGGAGCAGCCAGGCGCGCAGGCCTGCGGAAGGGATGGATCCGTGAGGATATCGGTACTAAAATATATACGCGCTCGACGCAAGAAATCAAAGCCCCAAGTTCTGCGAGAGGTGCCGTTGGCAGGAACGGTTACACAATGCCGAGCTGTGGGTGGAACGGCGTTGTTCTGCTCAGCCGTCAGCACGGAGCGGTCCCTGGGGGACGCTGCACGCACCGCGGCCCCGTGTTGCCCCGTTCCGGCACCGGGCGCGGAGCGGGCAGAGCCGTGTGGCGGGGTGAACCCGCATAGGTTAGCGTTTCTAGCATCTTCTCGGCGCGTTGGCTCTGAAGGAGAAGCGGCTTCTTTTGGGTGTAAATTCCAGATTTTGGAAGCACGGGGTGAAGGTGTGAACGGTTGATCTCATGTGTGCATGGACGATGAGTTCTTAGCGCTGCGTAGAACGTGAAAGTTGGGTGAAGGCTCTTATGTGTGCAATCCCTTCTTTTCACGAGGCATTCCATTTAGCAGTAGCAAATGTGCATGAACTCCAGCAGTGTGAATATTGGGTATTTGGTATTGTATTTGATATATTGGCTGTGGACTATAAAGGTGGTTTGGGTCAATTAAAAAAACAACCAAACAAAAAAGACCCGCCACCACCATTTTTTAATTTTTTTTTTACGAATGTAGGTGGTGAAGAATGAAGGAGAGAAACCTTGCCAATACCAAGCTTGCGATTATTACCTTGGTGTTTATCTGGCTAATAAGGACTTGTAATTCACCTTTTGTCCGTGTGCCTGGGAAGCAAAGATGCCTGGTGTGGATGATTTGGAGGGGCAAGATTTTTGATCAGTGACACTCTTACAGTGAAATATCTTTCCTTAATCGAGGAAGTGTGTTGCTAGAATGAAGTTGACCGCAGTTACATACCTTTATGTCAAAGCTTGCTTGGCTTAAGAATGAGACGTGTGGTGATGAGTTGTTGTAGGTGAGTATCCTGACCCTACTATGCTGTGTTTTTATGATCTGCTCAAGTTTAATGGTGGAGTTTGCTGTGGCTCTCTTCCTTCATCTGTTTTTTCGTTTTGATTCCCATGGGCATACACTGCTGAGAACACATATGTTTTTCAGGAGGGAGCAGGGCAGTGTGAGGAACTCTTGTGTGACGTGTCCTTGAACCAAAGAAGGAAGGTTATGATGAAGCACACACAAGTGTGTTATCTTGCTCTTCCAGGCACGCAATGAGATAGACACCCTGTAACTTTGTTCACTTCATTCTCTGAAGACAAATTTGCAGATGGTGGAAATGGGGAAGTGATATCTTCATGGCACTTAGTGGCTGGTTGTTTTCTTATTCCTCTGTTGAGGCTGGCACATGCAGCTTTTGCTTGGTGCAATGGAATGGGTTAAAGGAGATCTTGCTGGGCCACGTGGCTTTGTACTGCTGGAGTGGTAATCCAATGACCTGAGCGTATTGCTCGCTCGGCCATTTGCTTGCTTGTGTGGCCCTTGCTTACAGATTACCTGTTTTGCAAAATGCAAATCGTCCGGTGTCCTTGGCTAAACATCATGAGATCCACGCTCAAAAAGCACTTGATATGGCTTCAGTCATTTCTTCCCTTATCTTTTTATAAGGAAACCTGCATTTGTTACCGTGGTGAGATGTAAGACAATGACTCTTGCAGAATATATTTTAAAGTTTTTATGGAATTAATAGCACTTGTTTAACATTCTATCATAAAACTGGGCCAGGAAAGCTGTAAAGAAAATTTGCAGGCTTGGTTGAATGTTCACAGAAAGTGAGCATCAAACACAGCCACTACTATAGTTCTTATGGATAGGTTGAAATGATGAAGAGGTCATTGTATTATCCCAGTGACACTCTCCTGGGGTCTTGCAGACATTTAGATATGTGGAACACCTTTGTTAAAACTTTTGAAGCTTTCTTATGTGCTGGTTTTAACATAACCTTTTAAAATTTTAATGAAAACAAATGGAAAAAATACCCTCCATTATGCATCATAAAACAATGGTCTAAAAATAAAGAGAACTGAGTTGGAAGAGTAATGGTTTTGACAAGAAAATTATCAGTGCCTCGAATAAAGAAATATTGTAGATCTGCTGAAATTTTATGGGAAATAATTGCAACGTTAGTTCAATGGAAGGTATTACAAAAATACAGAAATTGGGGACTTTGTCTGCTGCAGGATACAAGCAAAATAAATATCAGATGTTTTTTTCAGTTGTTTTTATTTGGTGCTAATATGTTATTTCTTCCCTTTAAAAAAAAAAAAAGGAAAAAAACATGGTTCATCTGTTGGAATAATTAGTATGGAAAGTTGCACTCTAGTGCTCTGTCTTTAGTTGTGACTAAAGGAAAGGTGACACGATACTCTTAAGGAGATAGTTGTGCTCCACCCCAGGCAACTTGCCCTTGTCTCTACATCTCATAATGTTTTAGAAGAGAACTGTATCCTCCAAGACTGTGGTAACTCGTGTTCTAGGCATACTTGCCAATTTAATTTCTTTTTTTTTTTTGGCATCCAATGCTAGGAAGCAGGTAAATATACCGACAGTGCTTGTTTGGAGCTCTTTGAGGTTGCAGTGCTCTGTGGAAGTGCCTGCTTGGCATTTGCCAGTGTAATGTTTAGGAACTGAGACCAAATAGGCACAAATACATTGTGATGAAAAAGTAATGTCAGTGTTTTGCTTTCCTTTCCGTTGCTCAGCTGCCATTCTGCTGATTGTTCATTAGGGCATACTCCTGTGCTTTAACTTGGCCAGCATAATGCATACCTTTGTAGGCTGGTGGAAGAGTCAGTGCTTTTCTGTGAACCTTTATGTCTTTATCAAGGTGAATCATAATGTATTCTGAGCTAGATAAGACCTGAATGCACAATGCAAGTTAAAAGAAAACAATTGTATTGTTTACCTGCATTCTTTACCTACATATCTCCCCTCATCCCATGTTGTCGTCCATGTAGAATGATGTCAAAGGTGTAATGCAAAAAATAAAAGTAGGTTGCCTTGCATCTGGAAAGGCAAGAACCATTTCCCCTTCTTACCTTTCTACTTCTGTAAGACAATTTTAAACCGACTTTTAGTTCCAAGAGGTTCTTTAAATTCCTTTCTGTGCTTTACTGTGCTTGGTGGGATCTGTGAATATATACTTTCATTTAAATTGGAATTTTCATGTCAGCTGGAAGTTGCTGACCCTAACTTAGTAGAAACAATGTATGGAAAGCATCGACTCCTCAGACTGCAACCCTTACTTTATCTGGTGATTCACTTGAAGTCATGCAAGAAGCTGCCAATATGACGCATCAGAATATTGCAAGTCATGTATTTTAATTTGCTTGACATGTGCTGGTTTTGAGGGTAACTGTAGGGGGGTCTAGGTAGTCTTCTGAATTACCAGAAGATAGAAAGAAAACTGAATGAAGTTATGTGTGTGTGTTGTGGGAAAAGTGTTGGGAAAGTGTGCTGACCTTTGAGGGACAAGAAATAGACTGTTTATTGAATTTTGTACGTTGTTGGTAGTTTGTTTTCAAAGGGGCAGAAGATCATTTTCTCATGCCAGCTACTTTTCAGACATCCACAAAGGAAGTTTTTGTTATGTAATTTTGCCTGGCCGCAATAGTTTAAAAAAAAAAAAAAAGTAAATCAACTTGATCTTTATGTATTTGCACAGGGGAGATGCTCTTTCAGTGGAAGTGAATGACATTCTGATCACGTCTCTCTCATTCCAACCCCTTCCCCCCCTTTTTTTTAATAATCAAATTACTATTATTGTTTTAAAATCTAATATCACCACTAACGTGGAGAGCATTTCATAAGTGGTCCTACCAGAAACAGAACTGTTCTTGTCTGGAGAAAATATATAACTGTTTCATAACATTGAAGGGTAGCAATGTACATTGTATATATTGATAAAATAGATGCATTGTTGGGAGCTCTGAATTCCTGGGTATGTCTTTGAGCAGACATAGCCCTTTAAATGCATTCAGAAGCACGTGGTGTGCTCTGCCTTCCCTAGTAACTTTGTAGCAGGCCGTATCATTGGTTATTCAGAAAGAATGACATGAGGAACATGGATGAAGCTGCCTCTGTCCTAAGTATTTGTGCTGCCCAAACTAGTTGTTTGTAAATATCTTATTGTTTTAAGCTCTTTTATGGTTGGGGTTTGCAGAAGACTGAATAAGCCTAAAGACACAAGACTAAGAACTAGGGAAAAAGCACGGATTGTGGTTAATTGTGTAACTTACTATGTTACATTTCAACATACTTAACATTATTGGAACTATTAAATACAGCTTACATAATTCTGGTGTAGAGGTGGATTTGGTAAATGTATTTACCAGTCTCCCACCTTGTTTCACCTGATGGCACATCTACCGCAGAGCACTGAGAATACATTTTGGAACTTTAGCACTCCAGTCAGAGAAAAGCTGATGAGCAACATGCTGAGTATGTGCAGTGGCAGCAGAGTACTTCAGCAAGTGAAACAGTTTATAATATTTTTCTAATAAAGGCAGTAGGTCCATATTCCAGAACACTGAATTTGATGAAGAAGAGACTTGGGGAGTCTCCTCCTTTGGAGAAGAGGAGGCGCAAGTGAGACCTTCTTGCTCTCTTACAGCTACCTGAAAGGAGGCTGTGGTGAGGTGATGGTTGGCCTCTTCTCCCAAGTAACTAGCAATAGGACTAGGAGGAATGGCCTCAAGTTGCTCC